CATCATTTGGAAATAATAATTCTTATGCCTAATGATTGTTGAGAATAAAAAGAATTTTTATCAAAGACCTAAACCAAAAACAGCTAGTGCACAGATTTTAACAATCACATAAAATAAGAGAAAAACTAAGGATCCACAAATGCTGTACCTCTTGGGATGATAAAAAGGCAAACTCTTGTCCAACCTTGTAACAGTTTCCTACACCAATGCTGGGCCTACTTAGGTTATAAGACACTGAGAGAATCTAGCAGTTCTTTCAGCCCAGAAAATGCACAAATACTTGATTGGGGGGCGGGGGGAGGGGTGACACATAAATTCAAAAGGCCATAAGACTCCCAAAGGCACAAATGAAGGACTGCGGTTCCAGGGGCTCGCAGAGAACTGAGCACCAGATAAACAGTGTTAACCAATCATCAAAGGCAAGTCTCTTCATGTTTCGCCCCCATTACCTGCTATTTAATTTTGACAGACTAGGATGCGGCGCCTTGAACCAAATTGTGAGAGTTAACCTAGTTAAAGGAACAACACACTTCTCTGTGATGGCATTGTTTCCTCATTCAGACAGCTTACCTACCCTCAAGCACTGCTGATGCCATGCTACCTCTGCCCTTCCTGCAGGCCGCTGGCTCATTCACAAGAGCCCTCCCAGCAAGCTTCTGGCAGGTGGTCTTGTATGCTTGTCAGTCAGTCCTCTGGAGTCGTTTGTCAACCCCCTGCTTGCCATCCACATAGTTCCCTCCTTCAATTGGGTATTCACCTCTTATTACACTTCTGTGTCACCCTTACAGTGCCAAAATTCAGATAGATTAAGGAATTCAAAAAATATTTTCTCTGATCCATTTTACATTGTGAGTAAAAAGCTGAAATAGTCCATATTATGAGATTTTGATACAGAAAAAAAGATATCATCACCTAAACTTTCTACAGATGCAACAGTGTCATTTTTTACAATGCTGCCCTTGAATCAATGCAGATGAGAAATTATCAACAAATCTGGTTACCAATATTTTGTTTCCAATACCATCCATTATCATTGTGTTGCTTTTCCTTATTCATTCATTTTCCCCTGACGACCATTCCATTTTCCGCCCATCTCTGTACCCTAAGAGGCCGGTTCCTAGTTAATAGAAAGCACAGAATGGAATCAGATTTCTAGCTGCCTCCCTCCAACCACAGTTCTGTCAAGTGCTCTCAACTCCAAGAATCCAGCTGTAACTGGGCTCCATCATACAATTTCCAATCCCTGCCTCTTCAGGACAAAGGCTGATAATAGTCTCCCATTGTGACTGGTCCCTGGGTGTCTCAGCATCCGTAATTAGTTCCTGGTCGCATCCTCTGAGCAATCCTTTGCTGGATCTCTGTGGCCATCTGCGTTGGATTCTGAGTCTGTGACATAGTCATCTCTGACATCATCTCCATGACTATTATGTATTGATTGCTCCTTATGTATCAGACACTGTGATGAGCACATCATCAGCATGGACTCATCCAGCATTTACACCAACCCCATGAGAAAAGTATTATTTTAAAGATGAGAAAGTACACTCGGCACTTTTAAGGATCTTATCTGATTACACACGAAATGCCATTCAGAACTTTCTACTTCAGATTCTCTTTTTGCTGTTGCCAATCACTCTCTTATGCTGTCCATGTCAGAATCATCTGGAACATTTGTTATAAATTCAGACTAGAGAACCCTACCCAAAACTCTCTATTGAGGAAACCAGCTATAGGTTTTGACTTGATTGGTGAAATTGACTCGGGGTCATTTCCTGATATAAAGGAAGTAATTGCATAGGTTAACTAGGTTAAGCTCTGGGTAGACAGATATTAAAACTCTGACCAGAATGAACAACAATAATAAACAAGACTGATCGATTTTTCTTTCTTCTAATTTACTTTATTATTTTTTAAATTTATTTACTTTTTACATCATTTTTCATTTTGTGCATTTTTCATCTTGGTTGTAATCCCCATGGACTTCCTGCCACCAATTACCAGTATGCCATCACCATAGTCCCGTGCACTCTTCTCAAGCCGGTTTTGTTCCTCTTCCCCTTTCCACCCCCATAAAATGTCACTGGTTTATAGTTTTTCATTTTTACTTTATTACAATTTGTTTTTTCCTGATCCCTCATGCTCCTGCTGTGAGTGGTACCATCCAGTATTTTTCTTTTATTTCTGGCTTATTTCACTAAGCATGATCCCTTCCAGCTCCATCTATGTTGCTGCAAAAGGCATGTATTTATCCTTTTTATTGTTGAGTAATATTCCATTGTGTATATGTACCACATCTGTTTAATCCAATCATCTATATGGGGGCATTTGGGTTGATTCCACATCTTCTCTATTGTAAATAGAGCAGCAATAAACATGGGGTACAGGTGTCCTTTTGAGAAAATATTTTTGTGTTCTTTAGGCAGATATCTAGGAGTGGAATTGCTGGATCATATGAAAGCTCTACTTTTAGCAGTTTGAGAAACCTCCAGACAGCTTCCCATAGTGGTTGTACCAGTTTGCATTCTCACCAACATCGTCAGAGAATCCCTTTTTCACCACATCCTCACCAGCATTTGTTGTTGCTAGTTGTTTTAATACATGCCATTCTCACTGGTATGAGATGGTATCTCATTGTGGTTTTGATTTGCATTTCCCTTATTACAAGTGATATTGACCATTTTTTCATATGCCTGTTGCCATCTGCATTTCCTCTTTGGAGAAGTGCTGTTTAACTTTTTTTTTTATGGGGTTGTTCGCTTTGTTGAGTTTAATCAGCTCTTTGTATATCTTTGTGATCAGTCCTTTGTGCAAAAATTTTCTCCCAAGCAGTGGGCTGTCTCTTTGTTTTGTGAAATGTCTCTTTTGCTACACAGAAGCTCTTTAACTTGATGTAGTCCCAGCTATTTATCCTATGCTTCACTATCCTTGCTTTGGGTAATGTATCTTTAAAGATGTTACTGAGGTGTATGTCAGATAGTGTCTCATCCACCTTTTCTTTTAGATATCGTATGATTTGGGGTCTTATGTCTAGTTCTTTTAATCTATTTTGAGTTGTTTTTTGTGCATGGTGCAATATAGTAATAGTAATCTAGTTTCATTTTTTTTTTTTTGCATGTAGCAGCCCATTTTTCCCAGCACCATTTGTTGAGCAAACTTCCTTTGTTCCATTGCACATTCTTTGCTCTTTGTCAAAGATTAGCTGTCCATGAACCTGTGGGTATATATCTGAGTTTTCTATTCAGATCCACTGATTTGTATGTCTATTCTTGTTCCAGTAACATGTAGTTTTGATTATTTTGGCTTTGTAATATAGCTTGAAGTCTGGGTGTGAAGTCCTGGACAAAGCAATAAAACAGGGAAAAAGACATACAAGGTATCCAAATAGGAAATAAAGAAGTAAAACTATTTTTATTTGCAAAGGATATAATAATTTACATGGAAAACCCTAAACATTCCATAGAAAAACTAACCAAAGCAATCAGTTTAGTAAGGTAGCAGGGTAAAAAACCAACACAAAAAAGTCAATATCCTACCTATACACAAACAACCAATCAGAAGAGGTGGGAAAAAAAATCTCCTTTACAATTGAAACAAACAAAAAGTCACATAGTTGGGGATAAACCTAACAAAAAAGGTAAAAGACCTATACAAAGAAAATTATAAAGCACTGTTAAGAGAAATACAAGAAAACACAAAACACAAAGAAATGGAAAGACCTCCCCTACTCATGGATCGGAAGAATCAATATCATTAAAATAACCATCCTACCAAAAGCAATATACAGATTTAATGCTATTCCAATAAAAATCTCAGTGACATTCTTCAAAGAAATAGAACAAATACTGATGAGATTTATATAGAGCCACAAAAAAGCCTTGACTAGCCAAAACTTTCCTGATTAAAACAAAAGAGAATGAACACATCATTTTCTTTCATAATTTAAATTGGAATATGCTAAGGAAGTTGGGCAGTAGGTAGAGGGAAGAGAGAAAAGAAAACCCGTAATGAAGAACAAGCAATGAGTGATGTGGCTACATGGATGGTGGCATATTAACCAGTCATGTGGCAATAAGGTAGTGTGTCCCTGGAGCCCCCTTGAAGCCCAAATAATGACTATTCTTAGCTGCTCTTAAATTCTATCTTCTCTCACCTATCAACTCGCCACTGATCTAAGTAATTGTTGGTCTTCACTGAACCAGAGATGTTTAACTGACTTGATATGTGCTCTAGTTTTTACAAACTAGCTCTGAGCTAATACAAGTGAAAGAAGCTCCCCAACAATCTTCCTGCATTTACTCTGTTCACTTCTTTATATTACTAGTCACATAAGAGTGAGTTTCCCAAGCTATAAATCTATGTCACTCACCTTGCTAAAAAAACACAAATGGTCCCTATTCTTTTGACAAAGTGAAATTCACCATGGCTGCCCACAAGTTGCTGCAGGAGCTACCTGCACCTAGACCAGCACCTCTCCAGCAACTGGAGCCCCACTTCCCTCAGCTTCTCTGGTTCAGTGACCCTGGCCTTCTCTCGCTCCCTCCTTTCACTGAGCTTAGTACAGCTTTTCTTCTGCCAGTAGTGAGGTTTGCCACTTCACCTACTTAGCTCCTCCCACTAATCACTAACTCCCACAAATCACTAAACATCACCTCCTCAGTGGGATGTTCCCTGACCTTCTTGGTTAATACCTGTAACTCCCTACAGATGCAACTCCTTGTGTGATTACCTGGTCAGTATCTGTCCTCACCAAGCACACTGAAGTCAGGGTCCTGCTTTTACTTTGCTCACTGTTGAGTCCCCCACAACTTGTAGAGTGCCTGCCCCACAGTAGACACTCAAATACCTGTTGACTGCATGTATGATTAACGTCTACATGCAATAACACCAGGAGAAAGCTCTAGCTAGGGGCCATTGTGTAGTAGTCACGGTGTGGAGGACAAAAGTAACAGTGGCCAAGCAACCATTGCTTAGGAGCAGTCCACAAAACAGAAGACCAGAATATGTGTGGCTGTATGCATAGTACCCAGGACCAAGATCTCCACTTGGAAGGGGAGCCCCATCCTCCTGCAGCCCCAACATCTACTTTAGCATCTAGGAAAATGCCCAAAAGGTCAGTGGCACTTGGCTCTCCTTTACTCAGTTCCATTTACGTTTGCAAGTATATTTCTAAAGTGTTCAAGCCTGCAACTCAATAGCAAAGATCTTGCAAGTTGATGCTCACCCCAATCTAGCTTTAAATTGTATTGACAAAGCAAAGAGCATAAGCTTGCAGCTTTGATTGCAAACTGAAAAAACAATACAAGAAACATAACAAATATCTTTGCCTCTTTGAGAAATGTGTAAATCAAAATTGGTTAATGTTTTGAATTGTGTTACATAGTTATTCAAATTATCAGTGACAGAGGAAAATTGTTTCATATTGTTTAAATATGTAAAGTGATGGCTAATAAGTGAAAAAATATTATTTCTCATAAAATTCCTGATAGGGGACCAATTTTAGTTCAAAAAACTTTTTTAACACACAAGTGCTAGGTGTTCTGTGAAGTCAGGATGGGAGACACAAGACAAACTTCACAGCTCTAGTATTCAAGGGCCTCACAGACTTAATGGAAGAGATCATGAAAAAAGAAAATACCACAAGCCATGTTGCAAGTGCGCATTGTACAAAATGAAAAGATGACATTCTTTAGCCTATGAAGGCAATAGTGATGGTGCAGAGTTTTTAGAAAATCAAGAGGAGCTCTTCAAGAAGTTCATAAAAAGTACAGAATCCAGTTTCCTAATTTTACAACTAAAATAATACATAATCCAAAGATGATGAGCTCTTGACTACTCAATGTTAAAGCCAGATCTTGAACTCCAAAGCTCCCTTCAAAGGGATTACGTCAACGACATAATCAAGTTCGGTTCACTTATTTGGATTTCTCAAAGCCTCTTTAGTCATTGAGGGTTGAAATGTCAAGCAAACTTTGATGTGCTCTTTAGAACAAATTTATAAGGGAGCAAGTTTCATCTTCTTTCCTCTCACCTGGCCTCCTTCAATAGGTGAAATAACATTAGGTAAAATAATATCCTCCAGTGGAAATCAGATTATGTCATTTCCTTCCTTCCATTGCCCTTTGAATGCGAGGATGTAAATACGGCCAGAGCGTGACTCAGGACTCGGCGTGCTCTGGTCAAGCACTTCCTGCTATGTAACTGGCTAGCCATGACCAAGCCTTTCTTACCTTGTGATCCGGAAAGAAAGCAGTTTGAAAGACAGATGTCTGCTGCACCACCAGAATGTTTATTGAGAAACAATTCATTTTAAAATCATTGTATTGCTTTACCTTAGATGCAGATAGCAATATCCAAACTCCCAGAGTCATTATATTTCTTTCCATTTGTTGGCAGCGTTTCCATATCCAAACAACTGGCTTCAATAAAAGGTAAGACCTGGGGTGATTGAGATGTATGATTTCTTCCTTACCATGACAACATGCTGAGAGATAAAAATAATAGGACTTCAAAGGATGCTAAAGATATAAGGGATAAATCATCAAACTTTCATGATGTCCTTTTTAAAGATTCAGGAACTGAGGTCCAGTAGAGAAATTAACTCCCCTAAACTAGACAGCCCTTTAAAAGGCCAAATGAGGACCAGAGTATGGGTCCTCTGATTCCTCATTCAGTGTCTTCCCACAAGCCCAAGGTGCCTCTCCATGGCAGCAGCCTCAGTGTTTCTGGACTCAGACTGTCAGCACCTGATTCCTGAAGGTTCAGTGGAGCTCAAAAGCACTCAATCTAACCGCCAGTGTTGACTGAGTGAAAACAGTGTAGCCCCAAATGTAAATATTCACCTTTAGAATTCAACATTATAGTTAAAATATCTTTAGAGCTAGCACTATTGCTGTGAAAATAACAACATATGAAAAAATGATAGTCAAATAATGGTGTCATTACTTATTCTCAAATGTGTAGCTTAAAATCTTTACAGAGTAATAGGCACAGCTGGCCAACTGGATAATGTTTCCAACACCAACAGTTTATATTAGAATTTCATTTAAATAAAGTCCATTTTGATGAAATCATTATCTTTACACTCTCGCAGCATGAGACTCATGATTTCTATTTTACAGTTTTCACATTTTCAGGGACTCTTAGTAATTGTTCCATCATATTTCTAATACAATTTTTTCCTTCTGAGAGGTTGAGGACAGATTGTAACACTAACACTTTCCCTGCTACACATACACAAACACACACACACACATACACACACACATACATTCTAGAATCAGACCCTTTACAATGGACTATTAGGTCACATTTATTCCCATGCCTTAAAAAACACAAGGCAAACATGGTTTATCTCCCAGAATGTGTTCTATTTAATGATGATTGATTTTTTTAAAGATTTATTTATTTATGCATACAGAACTGGGGTGCAGGCGAGAGGTGCAGGGGCAGTGAGAGGATTCACCAGAGACAGAGGAGTGGGGAGCAGAATAGGCAGACTGATGAAGGACACTGCTGAGGGGAGCAGTGGGTGGGTCAGGAGAGGTCTGCCACGCCATGTGAGTCACCTTCCGGGCTGGGGATCGAACTTATGCTGAAGTGGTTCTAGCTTCTTAGTGCTGTGCTTTAACCTGCTGCACCACCAAGGAGGACCCTGCTGATTGATTTTTAAAGTCATGAAATAGAAGTCAATATGAATCCACCTTTTCTTTGCTGGTTACTGGCACTCATGCCCTTGAACACCTGCGAGATAAAAATTGAGGATGAATATATTATTTGTCTCTGGAATCCAAGTAGTTTTGTGGTGAAAATTTTTGAGTTGTACTAGACTTTTGAGGAAATGATTGAACTAGAGAGGAAAGCATGGAGAGCTAGTTTTTAGTTCTGCCATACACTGTGAATGTAAATTTGGACAAATCACTTCTCTTCTGGGGCCTTCATTTCTTCATTTGCAAAACTAAATAATATAAGGAAAAGTTCAAAATAATGTGATTTGACATCTATTGTACTGAGGATGGTGTTTCCCTCACACAAAACTGTTAGGAACTCGCTAGTTCAAATATTTAATGTTTAGTATTCCATGTTCCAGACAAAGTGAGGAGAAAGGCAGATAATTGTTTGAAAGTCTGGTTAGCTCAGTTCAACACACAGATATTGCAGTCTACAATATACAGAGCCTGGCTTGCACACAAAGATAAGTGATAACTGCCTTCAAGGGATGGGCAGTCTAGAGCCACACTCCCCAGCATGGTAGCCACAAGCCACATGATTCATTTGAGTCACAGTGTGTTATAAACTACATGGATACTAGATGTCATATTTTAGAAACTCAGTAGGAAAAAGTACAGTGTCTCAATAATTTTATATTGATCACATGTTGAAATAAACTATTTTTTGCTTTCTTAAGTTAAATGAAACATACCAACTAAAAGTCATTTTATCCATTTCTTTGTGATGTTTTAATGTGATTACTAGAAAATTCTCAATTATAATTTTGAGTTGAATTACAATTCTTTTGGAAACACTGATCAAGTCTGGGTTTGGGGGAAATGTCTACAGAATGCACTGCCTGAAAAATAAATTCTACATGCAGTGTACATCATGTTGAGGGGCCAGAACTGCTGTGTGACTTTGGGCAAGACAATTAACCTCTCTGTGCCTTGGTTTCCTCCTGTATAGAGATGATACTTGGACCTACCTCAGGGTTGATGCAAGAATTAAATGAGTTAAAATATGTACAATCTTGGGAGGAGAGCTCCCATAGAGAGCATAAGCTCCCTAAGCATCTTTTACACTTGTCCCCCATGACACAAGCTCCAGAAGATAAAGAGTTCTCTTTTTGGTATTATTCATGGCTTTATTCCCAGAGCTAGCAAAGGGGCTGGCAATAAATACTCACCAGTAACTATTTGTCAATACAACATAGTGTGTAAGAAACTAGATACAGTTCAATATTGATTTTTTTTTTTAAGTTCATCACGTAAAGTCCAGTTCTATTCAGGTCAATATTATTAAGTCACAAGAAGTGAAGTAGGAAGTAGGAAAGGTTGACATGAAGAGGCCCAGTTTAACACCCTTCCCAACACCCCCATTCCATAGGCAAGAGAGCCAATAAAAGGCACCAAAAGAGAAATGTCAGTCCTTTGCATTTTTTATGGCACTCAGTCCTTTTCAATCTGCTTTCACATATTCTTCACAACTCTGGGAGGCAGAGAGGTCAGAAATTAGGAGGCAACATGCTGGGTTTATTAAGAGAAGAACCCAACCATGAAAACAGGAAAGCAAATACTTTGCAAAGTATCATCAGTGTTGTTGGGATAACCAGAGCTCCTGTGATCCTTTATTTTTGATAATTTTCAGTTCTGTGTTTGAGATAAGCATATGCTACTTTAAGTCAGGGAAAATACATCTTGTGTTTCAGAGGATAGAGGCAAGTTTAGCTAGGCCATTTGGAGTCCTAGTCTGGAGGTCGGTGGGCCCTTAAATTCACCAGAGACTTCAATGATGCCTGTCCCCCAGTCCCCACGGAAATGCCTACAGAATCAGGGAGTCCAAGGTGGAAACCCTTTCTTTAGTCTTGGAAGTCAGACATACGTTCAGGTCTTTCCTCTGCCACTCTGAGCAATATCATTTTAAGATTCTTAATCTCTCTGTGTATCAGTCCCACGTGTGAAATGGGGACTAATGAGTGTTTTTGGTTTTACTGAAAAATACCTAAAATTATGTCTGAAAGCTACCTGGCATACCTTTCTTCTGATACACAAGAAAGGTATCTGCTATTATTTGCAAGCTCACTCGCAGCTTAGAAACCTACCCTTTCCTCAGCAGATACAGAATATAGACTCCACACAAGCAAGACTTTGTTTTCTTCATTGATATATCCTTAGTGTCAAGAATGAGTCCAGTTATTGCTACCTCAATAGCTGATGAACAAGGGGATGTAATTACAGATTAAAAACCAAGGCCTGGTGAAGTGAGGTGCTTTCCCAATGCCACATGGCAAGCAAGGGGTCACTCTCATCCTAGTTCTACTAAGTCTAATTACTCCCAAAGGAATTTTTGTTCAGGCTCAAACTCTCCATCCCCTGCTCCCAGATATGGGGCAAAACACCCAAGGGAAGAACCACAGGGACATACACGGTCAACCCTGCTGCCCACCACTCCTTGGAAGAGGTAGCTCCAGTCTGGGGTAGGTTTATTTCAAACCTAAAACAATTACTGCATTTTTTTCTCTCTCGCAGCTCTGGGGAAGGGCTCAGATCTGGAAAAAGCTGTTTCCACCTTAGCTCTGATATTCAGAAATTCTTCGGACCCTGATGGTAAACTTGAAAAAACAACTGCCAAAAATCTGCTACAAACCCAATTTAGGAATTTCACAGAGGTAAGAATGAATAGGCACACAGACAGAGGAGCCACACCTCAGGGCTGGCCCAGGCAGCCAATCACTCCAACTCAAGGGCCCCATTCTTGCTTCATTCAACTGTGTCCTGCACACCTGCCACACCAGGAGGTGGAAAGAGCACTGAGGTTCATGCCGTGGACAAGCTAACAATCCAGAAGCAACAAAGGTGCTGAAGAGGTCATTTGACCCCCTCATATTAAGGAGTAGGAATGCAGTGAAAGAGTAAATCTATATTAGCAAATTAAGGTGTAGTGAAGTCAGAATAATGTCCAAGAGTTAGCAAGACAAGGGGGTTTAGAAGGGTGGCAAAGCACATGGAATGGTATGTGCAGAGCCAAACTATTAAGCAGGCCAATGGCCTTAGGCAGGCTAATGGCCCTCCCAGGGAGGGCCAGAAAGTAGTTGGTCAGAGGGGGAAAATGGGCAGCAGTAGGAGATGAGACTGGGGAGGTGGGAAGAGACCAATTCTTCAAGAGGGTCAGAGGAAGCCAGGTATTGTCTCCACGGCCAAGATAAGAAGTGACAGTAGCTGTGGTGGGAGATCAGACAGGGTGAGGGACGAGGGCAGAACAAAAGTCAGAGTAGCTATGAGGAAGCAAACGAAAGAGATGGTTAATGGTGATGTGGACTAGAATAGTGAATGTGAAGGGGTTTTGAAAGGTGAAGTAAACAGGATCTGATCATGAATTGGCTATAACAACTGAAGGACAGGAGGTACAAATAATGATACCCCGTTTTCTGGCTGTGAGAAGAAATGGAGGATGCTTCCATTCCTGGAGAAGAGAAAGACTGGAGATTCACCCAATTTCTTAGTCCTGCCTTAAAACTCCAGGTAGAATTGGAGAGGGGAGGAGATGATAAGTTCTGTTAGGATGTGTCAATTTGAAGATATGCATGCAATATTTGAGAGACTCAGATAACTAGAGGAAACCTCTTATCTACCAAGGTAAGAATAATGATGTCAAAACTCAAAATGTAAACATAAAAGCTAGCAGCATGCAAATCATCACTGAAGAAGGCAGAGACCTAAAGAATCTAAAGGTATGTTTCTCCATCTTTAGTCATTTCAACACCATTTTCATTATTTCCCTCTCTGCCGCTAGCCTATGTTATAATTTCCTTGGAGCTTTTTCTGTAAATTAGGCCTCTCTTTGAATACATTTACTATGTCATACTTTATCAGTAAAAAGTGGCTAAAAGTGGAAGGGTGTAAAATAATAATAAGACTATGAATTCTTGTTTAATATTTATTTTTGTATTGCCTGAAGTTACATTCTATTTGCAGTATGCATTCCTAGTTTGGTAAATAATGTCTTCGGTAAAATATATAAAAGGTAAAGGGCCATGCAGTGCTAACCAGCCAATACTCAATGGTAACAGAGCAAGGAAAAAAAAAAAAAACTTAAAAAGAAGCAGACTGTAAGGTTCTATGTGTATTATGCAGTATGAAAACACAGATGTTATAACTCCATCAAAACATACATGTGGTTTTAGCATACTGCAGTTAAATAAGGTCTCATCTACTAGAGAAAATGGATTCCTTGAATATAAACATTTCAAAAGAATTTTGTGAAATCAATTTCTTTTAGATTGCACAAATAACTTATTTTTTAAAAAAACATCAATTTTATAGCAAGAGTAGGATGGTAGTTGTCAGGGACTGAGGGGCAGGGTCTCATGGGTAAGGTCAAAGGGCAAATTTTCAATTATAAGAATAAGTATTGAGAATCTAATTACAACCTGATAACTCCTGATAGCATAATGTAGTATTATGTACTTGAAGTCTCTAAGAGTAGATTTTCAATATTCTTGCCAAAAGTAAAGTGAGGTGATTGATATGTGTGAATTATCCTAATGTGGATAACTATTTTACAATGTATATCAAATTATCACATTGTACACTTCAGATGTTCACAATTATATTATCAGTTATTTCTCAATAATTTTTTAAAAAGTGTGTTTGAGCAAAAAATGCTATAGTGTGATATGCAAAAGGATGACTGGGAAGAAATATGACTAATAATAGCTATCTTTGAGTAATGAAATTAGTGACTTTTAATTCTCCTTTTAAAAATATTCTTTTCTAAATGAATATGTATCTATTGCACATGTATTGTTTTTGAAAAGCTTTAGTTTAAAGTGATTTTTTCAACCAGAAATACCAAGCAGATTTTGATGAAATAAAATTTTCTAAAGAGTCTTTAAAGAAAGGATGGTGAATTAATCCTATAACATCTGCTTGCTTCTGAAGTCAAAAGAAATAACATATCCCAGAGAGAAAAAGGATCCTTACTGAGGGGCCTGGCAAACACCCAGTGAGTTTTAATAAGTGCGAAAATGAGGACCTAGCGACAGATCATCTTCATGTAATCATCTTCCCTCTGAGAACAGCAGAGTCAAAAATTTAAACCGACATCATTAGGAAAGACACCTTCAGTCTCTGTGTCAACCTCCATCTTGGGCAAAACCCAGAAAAGGCAGCCAATTCCTGGGCTTCTGGCAGCAGACCCTCCCAGACCCCTTCTGCCCTCATTCAAAATGAAAAATGAAAGACACCCACGGCACAGACTGTGTTTCAGGAACTTGAGTCAGCAGCTCATCCAAGAGCTTGACTCAGTATCATCAGTGATAGGTTAACTTCACTGGGCATACTTGTGACATCAGAATGCTGCCTGGGGCCAACACCCACACAGCTTCCCTAAGGCGGGCACAGTCAGTGACAAAAGACAGCAGCCTCTTCATGACTGAGTGAACTTGTCCTGAAATTCCCTGGTGGAATCTTCTGGTAAACTGAGCTGAACATTTAGGATGAAGCCTGAATTCCAAAGGGAATATCTTCTGTCTCATCAGCTTACCCATGATGTGACGGATCTTAACACTCTTATAGCTAGTCAGGCATGATAAACCTTAGCACACAGGCATTTTTAATATACTAAAGCAAGATGGTTGGTCAGGTGCCCAGAGGACTGACCTTTTTAGTTCCTTGCCCTTATAATACCAAGGGAAAAAGAGCAGGACAGTCTCTTTAGCCTTTGAGCAAGTTGTGTATCTTTAATGCCAGTGAAGTGCTTCTAGAACTGAAGTTCTCTTGGAGGGAGACTGACAGAGCTCTTTTCCCTTGCCTGTAAGGTATGGCTTCTTGAGAACAAATCCAGAGAAACAAGGCTGTGAAAGGAACATATCATCATTCCTTACCCATTGTTGTCATGGATTTTTACAGCTAGTGCACAGCTCAACATTGGGAGTTGAACTAAATGCAAACACAGCTCAGTATAACATTGGATCATATAACAGTTTTAATGTCACTTAGGAAGATATTTCTCAAGCTATGGTTGGAAATTGCAAAGTCTCTCTATGCACTACTCGTGTGCTCTCTTTCTGTCTGTTTATGAGGACTAAGAAGACTTAGATGTGATTTATGATCAAACAAAATACTGAACCATCTTCCAAAGCACATGTTTTCTTTTAGCAAATTTTATGACATGTTTCTAGATCATTATATTGTTTCATGGGACACATAATGGACAACTTCTATAACAAATAGTTCATATTTTGAAAATCTGAAAACAGCAATATCTGTGTTTATAGTGAGGCGGCTAGCTTAGCAGTCAAAATTTGGAGTCTGGAGTCAGGTGGCCATGACTATGACTCAAGCTCCATGCCAATAGCTGCTTTGCATGAGCCCAGCTACTTAAATCTCTGATATGTCACTTGTAGATTGGGCATAATTAATACACATTCTGAAGAAGGTCATTGTGAGAATTCAGCGAAATAACCCATAAAGAGATTTCACTGGAGCTCAACTGGTAAAACTGGTAGCAACTTGACATGTTGTTATTATTAATGACATTTATTATTGTTTGTTATCTGCAAGAGCAGGTTGGCACAGTGAATTAGGTTTTTATCTTCTTTGTTCTCACAGGGACAAGAAAACAAACCAAAATACAAAGACCTTCTTTCTGAACTCGACGAGCACACAGAAAATAAGCTGGATTTTGAGGATTTCATGATATTGATCTTAAGCATCACTATAATGTCAGATTTGCTACAAAACATATGGAGTGTTAAAATTATGAAATAAACAGCCTTAAATATGTAGTTAGATAAAATAATGGCAAAAGGAAGTACAAAGTGATTTTTTTTCGTTGATTTTTAATTAATCAAAGATACTTTTCGTGTATGTGGGACTGCCTGGGACGAATCTTATTGCTACTGTTCACACCCAATGTAACTCAAACTCTTATGCATACTTTTCAAGAATGTTTGAATAATGTATTGTCTTCACAATGTGATAGATTTGAAACCACTGAATATCAGTCTGCTTTTGCTGAGTCAATAGTGCCTTAAAGCACCTTCCTTACGGTAACTGAGTTACTCATTCATTCATTCATTCAAAGACGCTAGCTGAACTTTATTTGACACTACTACTGAGAAGACAGTGATAAACCAAAGGAATCCTTGGCCTCAGACAAGACTGCAAAATTCTAGCTGAACACAGATGAACACTGAGCAACTAGCCAATCAATTGCATCGAGATTTTAACTACAGTGATGACAAGGCTACAGAATACTAAAAAAGGTTATCAGCAAACCTGGATTCAAAGGTCTGACAAGGTTTACTTAGATGAAATTATCTAAACCAAAATAAATAAATAAAAAAAAAACATTTGAAGAAAACTTCCTTATGTCTAGCTCTCAAAATCTTCCTCCTTTGTCTGGAATTGAATGGGAGAGATGACACTTTTATGTTTGTTTTTTGATTTTTAGCAAATAAGAGGCTCATATGATGTGCCAGGTATTCTTTTAGCAGCTTTACAAATATTAATTCATTTAACCCCATTACTACCCTAGGAGGTAAGTATTATCACAGATGAGGAGACTGAAGCAGGTTTTGATTTTCCCAAAGTCACACACTGGCAGGCTTAAAAGTTCACTGCCCTCTCTGTGGGTGTTGTTAATTTTGTTTTAATATTAGATTTCATTGTGAGCAATAATATTATAACTCAACAAAAATAACTGTGTACATTTCTAGCACTGTGCAAGAGAGTGCTACCAGCTGGGTCCTGGAGAACCATTTGGCATTCCTCAAATAGAACTCTGTGGGCTGCTCTCTGCCAAAGTCCTTTGTATCTTAGTTGCAAGTAGCTGAATACAGCAACCTTGGTCACCAAAGAAAAGGTCAAATCTCACCTTTCAAAGAAGGAAAAAAAGAGATTATGGTCACTGGAGCAATAAGGAATCTTGGAACCATTTCAACACTCTGGGTGCCCAGTAAGAATTTTTGAAAATCCATCCATCACATGTCTCTGAAAAGGATATCAATTATAGACTCTATTTTAGCCTGATACAAAGAATGAAAACAGAACAAAAGCATGTGAAGCCTCAGTGACAGATAAATCAATAAGCATGATGCTAAGACACTAGAATGTAGCAGTTTTCCTTCTAGATTCTAGTCCCAGACCCATCAGCTCTATTCTTAAAACAAAGGTGCCATCTTGAAAATGATAGTCATCACAAAACATGAGATTATGGATGCAGATCTGTCTTGGGATCCTCTGGTTGCAATGGGCAAAACCCACTAAAACCTCAAACACATACACACAAGGAAGTGTTGAATTTATCACCAAGTCATTGGGGCATCTAGTGAACAAAGAATACAATAATATCCACAAATGCAAAGCAAAACCATGTTTTCACTCTTAGTTTTTCTTAAATGAATTGTTTTCTTATCTCTGTGTTTGTCTGTATCTGCTAGTAATTCAGCATATGCCTACTTCATTTCAAGCTTATCTTTATTTCTCTCTTTGATCTCTATCTCTGAACCAGTTCTTTCTCCCTCTGGCACAAGAGTCAATTCAGTTCCTCCATTGTTGACTTTACTTCACCCTTTAAGTGCTCATCAGACTTTCAATAGTATCTCAGTCACTCCATCTCCAGACCCCCCAAAGAGAACATGATTACCTGAGTTTGGGTAGTGACTACTCCTGACTTAGCTGTCCTACTTGTCTGTGGTCAGGGAGGCAAGTACCATGCCCATTCAGGGTGGATTATGGGAACTGATTGCAAGGTGTATGAGGTTCTGATGATTGACAGAGGAAAATAGATGAATTGCTGACAAAATCCACAACTTGGGCTAGAAGGGCAATGTTACCTACTTTTTAGGTATGGGCTCAGCAAAGTGTCTTGATGGAACCATTCCAGGTGAAAACTTCTTTGCATTGTCAGTGTCACTGTGCAAAAGGAACTAACCTGCATCTCTCTAGGAAGTTTTCTGTGATTAAATATAGTTAAGATATTCCTATACACGAGCTGTGTGCACCCTTGCAATTTGGTGAGCATGACAGAAACATACCCAGTCCTAGAACCCCTAATTTTCTTCATTTCAGCATCTAAAAATGGGTCCAAGTATGAGATCAGGATTGTGCTTTAAATAGTGCTTTGTAAAAAAATTAGTAAGGACTGGAAGAAAACCAACAGGAGTCCCACTTGTCATCTGACCTTGGGCATCAGTAGAACCTAAGTTGGGCTTTTTGGGAGCCCAGGCCACTGGTTCTACGAGAGAAAGTTCCAGCCCATGAGCGGGAGAGACAGTGACCCAGGAAATTGAGGCTTGAAAGATTTGTTGCATCCTTCTCCTTTCCCCTAATTTCAATCTAGGTTATATAGATTCAGATTTCTCTTTGTTCTTTTAGCAACAAGGCTCTGAAATAGTCAAACTCTGGGTTTGGCATGGTATAAAGTGGGGTCTCAGCAAGCTGTCTACCCTAGCACATTGAGAAATATTTAGCATGCCTTCTTTTATGTTTTCAGTAACTTATCTCCAATTCTGAATCTAAGAACAGTAAATACTGAAGTTTTTCATCCTCATTTAATGACATAACATAAAAGATATCAACCTAGAACCTATACATCATATCTATTCTACCTGGTCTAATTCTAGACAAATTGTTCATAATAATTATTATTATTTTAAAGTTCTGTTAAAAGAAATATTTATTTATGCATATAGGACTGGGGTACAAGCCAGAGTGGGGGGGGGGAGAGGATTCACCATGGACAGTGTGGGGAACAGAATAGGCAGATCGACGAAGTACACTGCTGAGGGGAGCAGCGGGCGGGTCAGGAGAGGTCTGCCACGCCATGCGGTCACCTCTGGGGCCGGGGATTGAACTAGCACAGAGCTGGCTGCCGCTATCTTGCAGTGCTGCATCCTAACCCATTGCACCACCAAGGAGGATGCTGTTCATATTTATTTTTATTAATAGCTGCCCATGACCGAGCAACTACTAGACTTAAGAATCACCTATGGTCTTTTACTTAATTCCTTAAACTAATTTAAGAGATTGGTATTGTTATCTTTATATCACAAAAGGGAGTGAGGGGCCTTCCCTGGTGGCGCAGCTGGTTAAAGCACTGCACTAAGAGGCTAGAGCCATTTCCGCATGAGTTCGATCCCTGTCTGCCCTGAGAGGTGACCACATGGAGCGGCAGACCTCTCCTGACCCGCCCGCTGCTCCCCTCAGCAGTGTACTTCGTAGATCTGCCTGTTCTGCTCCCCGCTCTGTCTCTGGTGAAGCCTCTCACCCTCCGCATCTCTGGCCTGTACCCCAGTTCTGTATAAATAAATAATCTTAAAAAAAAAAAAAAGGGAATGAGATTTCATGAGGTTGAGTGACTTACTCAGAGTCTCACAGCAATAAACCCACAGCAGAAAAATCCCAGATTCCAGCTCAGGCCTTGTTCACAGTCTGGCTCCTTTCCTGATCATGTGAGATGTAAAACTGCGAAAGAAGAGCTCCTCTCTTACCTATGGTTTATACACGACTCAAATAAATTATTCCCCAAAGTAATGAGAAGGAAGAGAAGGAGGAAGTAACAGCAACATTTCATGTGTCCAAAACCCAAAGGAAATCAAGAAGAGCTAGAGGAAAGAGCAATAACAATATAACATATTTTTCCTTGCTTCTCTTAGTCATTTAGCTTTAATCTCCCAGGGAATTCTTCCTTTGGGAGAAGGCAATGAAATCTTAAAATTGTGTCCTATCACCTTAATTTCCCTTGAAGAAAGTGCAAGAAGCAGGAAGAGGCCCTGGAAGAAGGGGCAGGGAGAAGGTTGTGTCTTCTGAAGGTGAAATGTGCCCTGCGGGCCGGAGCAAAGCCTCAGAGGTCAGAACCCTGCAGTCTATTTCTTGCCCACCCCCCCCACCCCCCTCCTGTCTAATCTAAGACTCTTCATTTCAAAGTAAACAGAGCACTGTGACCATATGGTCCCTAAAATCCCCTCCCATATTGATATTCTTTCATGCAAACCGAGATTATTTTTTTTAATTAATGAAAGTGTAATAAGGTGCCAGTGGGCATATGGACAAATGTCATTCTTTAAAAACCTGTCCCTTTGTTGCCTGTGACCCTGGTTGGTGGTGGCACAAAGAAGCCCATTACACAGAGGACTAAACATCATATGGAGATCTAGATACGAGAGAGGAAAAAAGAGAAACTGATGACTTCTCAATGCCTTACAAATTTGAAAATACGCAAATTTTAAAGCTATACTTCATATGGGTGTTGAATATGCCATTTAAGTCACACAATTCATGTGACCATTTATAGGCATTTAGTAAGAAAGATCTATAAAGTCAGGACCTAACCTATTTTGGATCTTCAATGCCTAGAACAGCACCTAGAACACAGTAGATATTTGATGAACAGTGAATGAACAAATCAATAAATGAGTCCTCAAAAGATGTAGAAAGGGAAGCGTTGAGATAGTTGCTGGGAGGTGTTTGCCCCAACTGCTGTGAGTGGCCGCAAGAAAGAAAGGTGGGAGGCAGAAAGGTTGAGCAAGCAGAGTTTATTGGTCCCGGACAGCCGCTGAGTCGGAGCCCCTAGGGTGGGATCCGCAGCTCCTGCCAATTCAGTAAGGTGGAAGGGTCTCCTATACAGGTCCTAAGCTCAGATTTCAAAGGGGTGACTCATCGCTGTGTCCTTGATGTGAGGCCCAGTTCGTTATCACCTTCAGCTAGTCCCATCCAGGATGCAAGGTCCAGTTAATTGGACGCAAGGCCTAATTACTACTGCCCTTATCCAGTCCCTCCGTAAATCTCCGCACTTGGTCACTCCCAAAAGGAAGTAGGGGTCAAATTCATATTGGAGAAAGAAAGTAAAGGTGGGCTTTACTCAGATGGGTGAGCTGAGTAATGGTTACCAAGGCTGCCAGTTGTTTGTTGTTGTTGTTGTTACATTGCTAAGAATGAGAGTTTAAGATTGAACATAAATAAGGCAACGAAGTTTAAGATAGCTTAATATTGTTCCTACTCTGGCTTGTCTCATAATTAACAAGTAAACACTGCAGGACTAGTCTGGAGATCAAAGACACAGAGCAAAGCCTCCCCTTTGTTTAGGAACCAATGACAGCCACAAGAAGAGGACTGTCCCCACAAGGAGGGACTTAGATCCCAGAACTACCTTCAGTTACTGCTGGCAAAGCCACGTTCACATGCCCACACGCCTGCCCTTCTGTTTTGTTGTTTTTGTTTTTTTCATTTTTGGATGTCAGTCCAGCTGGTTTGGGTTTTTTTTTTTAGATTGATTTATTTAT